CCGAACTTCTGCGCTCATTAAGCGCAGTAAGTAAACACTATTAATGTATTGCGGTATATATAGCTGATAATATAATATTTCGCGTTTGCGCGCGTACACGAGGTATATATAAGAGCTAATGAGCCTTAGAGTATGGTTAACCTCTTTTATGCTTTTTATGTTTTTCGATTATTTTCATGCCGTATGCGTTCGTACGTTCGTTTCGATGTTAATGCTGAATAAAAAATGCCTCGTGCTTACTCAATTTTCCTCGTATCATTTCGAGCTGAAATCTGATGTGCCTTAATTAGTCATAATTTTCGGAGTTTTTAAACAAGAATTTAAAATTTTAAGCTTAAATAATAATTTTTATGCCTCAGTAAAATAAAATTCAATGAATTTTATGATCATCGCCTATTGACAGTTTCCCTGATTCAAAAAATTTAGATTAATTTTCAAAAATTTCAAGCCTCCACCACCAGATGGCGAGTATCTTTATTTGTAAATCTGCAAGTGGAACAGAAAACATAATTGTATAAGTTGAAGCAACTGAAATAGTTCTTAATCTTCCATGGTTTTAGTATTCGGTTCTTCAACACAAAAAGGTCAAAACAAAAAGGTCAGACCGAAAAGGTCAGGTTTATATGGTTTTTTTAAATTTTAAGACATATTTTTCCATAAATAAATAAGAAAAAATACAAAGTAAAATTAAAATTGAAACATATCCAGCCAGAAACAAGGCTGATAAAATAACTATATTATATAAGGCTAGTGGAAACAGGAGCCCCTAATTTAAACTATAGAATGTATCATAAAATGTAAACGCATTATCGCGTTACTATAAAAGCTATGTACAAAAAATTCTAATCAAGTCTTTTTCAAAAGTAAAGTAAAAAAGTATTTACGGTTTTTTGAATGTAATCTTAAAATCTTGAGCTTTTTGATTAAGTTACATTTACAATATAATATTATAGCGAAATTACAGTTAAACGAAAAAAAAATAGAAATAACGATAATCATTAAATAACCCGAACGAGACTTTGAATAATTTCTTGAAAGGAAAAACAAATTTTTCATTTCAAACGTTATAATCTCAAATCCTACTCGTAACAACAAAACCAAAGTTGGCTGAGATCAAAGACACGGCCTGGCAGTGCACGCGCAGCGTTGTAGACACATAGAGAGCGAATCCTCGATGTAACATGACATATGAGAAATGTTGCGCGTCAGTCAGCCGCGGCAAAACATTTTCGAGCGTTTCTCGTGTTGCTTCTTGATCGATGCTTTATGCCGTGTACCGCACACACACACACACATAGTACCTCGCGCGTAAAACGAAAAAGAGAGAGAGAGAGAGAGAGCGAGATGGTAGAGAGAACGAACGAAGGGGTTGGGGGGGCAGCAGGCTGAATGCAGGAAGCTCCCGTGTAGTATTTTTCTCTCATCGCGTTTCAGCTCGAGCTGGCAAAGAAATCGGAAAGCGAAGCGAAGAGACACATTGTACGATTACGTCGAGTCCCGCGCGTTATCGGGTGGCGGGTACCAGTGTAATCTCATCTAGGCACTCGGGACGACGAGGCTCTCTGCTGCTGCCGCCGCTATACACTGGAACTACTTACTACTCGCGACGGTTTTTATCCTATTACGTCACATGAATAATCTAAAGACTTTGAAGGCCATGTACCAAGATGGCACGGCTTCTGCTGCTGCTGCTGCTGCTGCTGCAGCCTTACTTACTGCTGCTTGCAAGCTCCGAGGGGGGTAGGTGGGGGGAGCAGGAGGATGCTGATGGTGGTGCTGGTGGTGTCAGCGGTACAAGAGTGAAATAGCAAACGAAAGACAGAAAGAGAGAAAGAGAAAGCGCGCAAAGGCTCTTTAGATACATCGACGGCAGCATGAGAGATGGGGAAAAAAAAATAAACTGGGTCTCTCGCTTTGCTCCATCTCTCTCTCTCTCTCTTATAAGCGAGTGTCTCATGTCATGCTGGATTTGTATCTTACTAACATTTTTATCAAGGGCTTGAAAAAGTTTTTATTTTACTGACTTTGTACGTAATCAGGATTTGTCTCGTAACTTGAAACTCTATTTACATCCAAGTTTAATTGATAAAATCATTTACTACAAATTCATCTTCATGATTACTGTTTTCAATTGGCATTATTTGCATACAATTTGAAAAAACGAGCATTTACTATAGGTATTTTTTCAAAAAAACTTCTTGCTATGATATTTTAATTTACGATAGATTCGATTAATCTTTCATAAATATTATTTGACTTATTACATGGTTAATTTTTATAAAATTTCTCCAATCTATTATTGAACAATAAATTAAAGTAATGGAAGTAATTGGAAAATTAATAATATTTCTTAGACCGTCGGTCACAGCGGACATCTTTTAATTATTGCATGAATCTACACATGTTTGAAAGAACAAAAGTTAGAACTCATTATGTATCTTCTCGAGTAAGTTTTATTCTATTTTAATTTCAACCATGTCAGTTTAAAAGTGCAAATCAAATCATCCCTCTAACGGAATTGCTCAACATTGGTAATAGCTTGATAACTAAAATAAACTTTTGAAATATTTGATATTACATAGCCACAATTTGGCTTGTATTTATCTATTTTTATATTTCAATTATGTTACATTTGGAATTATTGACATTTGAATTGTAAGACGTCTATTAAATTGAATTTGTTAATATGAATTTTAAAAACAGTAACAACAGCAACAACAATTAAGGGCCAGAAAGTATTGCAATTTTAAATAAATATAAATGAGAGCCCTAAAAATATGCTTAATACATATTATCATTAGCTTTCTGTGACGGTAGTTATAAGCCTTTTCCTTATCCACTTAAAAATGGTTCTAAAGTTACCGCTAGATAGCGCGTGCCCGAATTCTTCAAAATCACAAGAGAAAAGACAAAGCTCTGGTATAAGTTCCAAGGTAAAAAATACTTGTACATTCTGCTGATTTTCAAAAATCATTTCAAAATGATTGTTTAATTGTTTCAAAAAAATCAAAGAGTTTTCAACTATGTTTTTATATACAGCCTCTTCCACTAGATGGCGATTACTTTCATTAAAGTGAATCTGCAAGTGGCAAAGTAAAACTAATTGTATATAAGTGCACGGTTATTTAATAATTTTACTCGTCGTGATAACAATGATCTTGAGCGTTTCTACCAGGGTCTTTGCATATTCTCACGAAAAATCATTTATTTACATTCATCGTTCTCTACTCCAAAAAAATGTACTGCCGATTTCTGTTATAGATATCAAAAGAATATGCTAACAGAGATTAATACGAAGTATGAAATCATCCAAATCTGCTCACCAAGATCAAAATTCGACAATTTCACAATTCGTGTTAAAAACATAGTGAACAAAACAGTTTTAAAAAATCATATTTGAGTACTAATTGTGATTTTCTAATCTTCTGTAACTTATCAATAATTCATAAAATGATGTAACTAAGCAAATGAAATTTAATTCTGAAATGCGTGGTGAACAGATTTTTGTGTAGATAACAAGTGTTCCACCGTAAACCAGTGTCCGTCGGTGCAACAATGAAGGATGAAGAATCCGTATATGGAAAAACATCACCTCACGTGATCCATGGTGTAAAAAACGAATTTAAAATGATAAAATCCAACAACTTATTAATTTTGTTGCGGCATTAAAGTTTTCGATAAATTATTCACCTGCATAACACGTGCTCGTGAAGAATACTTAAAACTATTTGGATCATCTTAATTTATGCCGATAGTATGTAAAACTTTCTGTTTTTTAAATCTAAATGTAAATGACCTGTGAAATAGTAATAAGGAAAAAAGATGTATAAGGTGTTACTAGTGATACTCGCTTCTGCTTAGGTGAATATTATTATGTGAAAATGAAATGTATAGATTTAGCAAATTATATTTTTTTATCCGTGTCTAATTATTTATAATGAAACTAAAAAATTGCGCGTTTCTGACTTCAAGAAATGGCAAACTCAATGGAGATGTAAAGAAAACCGAATATATGGTTGATTCTCCCGAAATCTGCTTTTTCGGGTATGGAAAACGAAAAAATGGTGAAAATTTTTTTGTCATATTGAACGGCGCGAACTAGTTTACCCTTTTTTAAACCATAAAATATGAATAATTATTGAATCTGGGGCTTTGAGATTTCGTTTTACGAAAACTATGTCCGTTTTTATGCTTAAAATCGACTATTTTCGGTTACGGAGGTGACACACACGGAGGTGACAAATCGCTGCTTTGATCAACTATGTAAGAAAAATAAGAAACGCACAAAATTTTCCGCACAACCCGAAATTTGGTCATGAAAAACGAGTCTTTTGACGGGGCGAGCGGTTAAAAAGAATGATCATAGCTCGAGATATTCATGTCCACGGAGGTGACCGTTTTTTTGACACACGTGAATTTTTCAATAGAATAACTATCCCAGCATCGATAAAATGTAAAATTTGAACCCGCAACCTACACCAATCGAAAGCTGGGCTATAATACTTGACATTTACGTATCTAGCGACATCAAAAATGAGTTAGCGACCCAAAGCAGGCGGTATGTTTGAAATTATTCAGAAGCATGATTAAAATCCAAGACATTTTTCAATTGCGTGGGAAATTTTTTAAAAACATTTTTCAAAGCCCTATAATAGACTTAAACTTTACTCTGGATGTATAGAAGCTGGTCTCATAGTTATTATAGGGTCAGGTGCTAATGAGAATGCATGGTACATGCAAATAGAGTTGATTTTGAGATGTAGACATGCCACGGAGGTGACATTTGGCATGTATATCTTCACGGCAAATTTAACTGACCCTAAAAAATTGAAATATTTATGTCCTATCATGAAGAATACAACAATATTGAATGAATGACCGAGCCAGTTTTGGCTCATCTTCACTAGTTTAAGAATATGGCATAAAGACATGCAAAAAGCAGATTTCAGGAGAATCAACCATATATGAGACGAGTTGCTAAAGAAAGATCGAGCACTCACCGTTGGATTGGGCATGCATCTCCTGGGCGGCGGGGCCATGGGATCGGGCGCCGTGCGATACGGCGAGGGCGAGTAGCGACCCGAGGGAAAGCATCCGGGCGCCGAGATCGGCGTCCCGTGCAGGCCCTTGCTGCTCATCATCTTGTCTGGTGAGTACATCATCTTGCTCGAGTGATCTTGCTTGCTGCTGCTGCTGTTGATTTTGTGTGTCTATGTGGATGCGTTGCGCGCCGAAAGAGAGAGAGATAATTTCGGAAACTCACGTCACACCAGCATTTGAACCAACAATTTAAGAACAACAAACAATCGAACAAGAACAATATATTACGGTGGCAATAACAAAAACAATGGGCGTCCCTCCGCACACAAGATAAACAATGTTCCGTCTGGGGTGTGGGTGTACGGCAGAGGTGTATCGATCAATCGAGCTCTGTGCGTCTCTCCTCGCCAGTCGAGCACGCGCGACGACGAGCTTTCGAGCTTTCGAGCTTGCAGCAACAATCGCAGCTATCTTTCTCTTTTCACTGACAATTATTGTTATCGATCATCGTGGGTCGCGTCGGCACGACGACGACGACGACGACGGCACTAGGCCGCCCGGGTGATAACACCGTCATTGGTCCGTTATTAGTTTTTTTTCAATAATCAGAGATTTGTCTTGAGAGAGCACAGCACCACAGCATTAAATCACACGGCACGGGCATTCGCTGCGGTTCGCCGAGCTTCTTGCGCTGTCACCGATTTTCTGTCCTTATACAGTACGACGACGATATCGCGTTGATAGCTGCGAGCACTGATTCGAGAAAACAAAAATCACACTCGTGGAGCGAGTTTAGATACGTCGTTGTTTTTCAATCGAATTAAAATCTGGAGATATCGCGGGTGGTGGCGGCGGCGACGTCTTTTGACGAAGCGACGACCGACCGACCGAGCAACAACAACAATACACCACTAGCAGAAGCACAACTGGCTGGCTAGAGCTCGCGACATGTTCTGTGTGCCGTGTAGCCCCCGCGAGTGCGAGAGCGCGAGTCGAGTCGTCGAGCGAGCGTGTGCATATGTGCGCTGCATACATATAGAGTGGAGTTAGTAGCAGCAGCAGTGGCAGCAGTGGCAGCAGCAACAGCGACAGAGAAAGAGAGAGAGCAACCCCCGGGGGTTGTATGTATGTATGTGTGTGTAGTGTAGTGTAGCGTAGCGTAGTAGAGAAAGAGAGAGAGAGAGAGAGACAGAGCGAGACAGAGCGCACAAGCCACCCTTGCGGGCTCGCTCGGGGTTGGCCGAACCCCCACCCGAGGGGGTAGCTACACCGAGCTAGGTCAGGGTGCTGCTGCTGCTGCTCACACACGGGGGATCGATCGTAACGAGCCGTACTACGCCAGCCACCACCGTGCACACGCCGTGTGTACCGCGATATCGGGGGGCGGGGCCAGCGAGGCGGCGCACGCGCGAGCGGCCATGTTGCCTCTGCCGAGGCTCTCTCTCTCTCTCTCTCTCTCGCTCTTTCTCTGTGTATATGTCGACGGTGGTGGCGAGAGAGCGCGCGCGAGACGGCACCACCACTATATATACCTGCCAGTGCACGCCGAGCGCAATGAGTAGTTGCGCTGCTGCGCCTCTCTCTGTCTCTCTCTCTTTCTCTGTCGTTATATACCTCCGTATATGTCTGCGCTACACGTTGTGTAGTTGCCTCTCTCTCCCTTTCGTTCTCTCTCTGCATGTCTGTTTTCGTACGTTCCGTCTGTGTATCCCGCCTGCGTGGGTGTGTGCGTGGGATCCGCAACCACCGTCGAGCCGCATGAGCTGCTGCTGCTGCCACTACTCGCGCTTATGCCGCTGCCTCGCTCGCGCGTTTCCTCTCTGGTCCTTCCCATTCTCTCTCTTTCGCTCTCTTCAATCTCTATTCGCGCTCTTTCTCTCTTTTGCTCCCTTCTCTTTGTATGCGCACCGCATGCGGTTCTTTTCTCTTCGTTCGTATTTTCGCTACTCATGCGTGCAGCGGTCCAAGCTCTCTCTCTGTGTCTGTCTGCCTCTCTCTCTCTCTCTCTCTCTCTCTCTCTCTCACTATGGGCTTATCTTTTTCTTCAAAAGCTTTGATAACGCGTTTCCAACTGCTAGTACATCGAGACCATAGCATCGTAGCTTTTATAACGAAACAAAAAAATCGCGCATGTCTAATTACTAATTTTTTATCTTTTATACATTCACGTTTGATATAAATTCGACGAAATCTCCATATAATATCCTCGTGCTATACTCGACGATGGTCCTCTGCGTCCATAAATCTTTCGCGCGCATGCATATCTATGAATCGAGTCAATCGGCACACACACACGAGAAGGTATCATTGTGCGACACGCTAAGCGGTCTCGCGTATTTTCTTTCTCAATATTTCACCGGTTTGTCTTTTGCACAAGTGTCGTCGGACGCCCTCGTCGCCCACCGTAGCTAGTACACACGCAGCTGGTAAGTTCTGCGGGTAGCTCCGCATAAATAAAAAATCTCGAGCTTGCAAGCTCGTCGTCGTCGTCGTCGTCGCAAGCACGAATCGCGCGTCTACTAGCTGCTGCTGCTGCGTGTGTACGTATTAAAAAAGTCATCCGCTCGTTATCCGCACGGCAGCGGAGCTCGAGCGAGCAACAAGTTTCACAATTATTCCGCGCGCGCGCGCACCAGGCAAATGAGCGTCATCGAATTACGATGCACACGCTTTTTTTTTATCGGAACTAAGCTATATGATATCGCGTTTGCAATAAATATCGTATGGGAGATCGTTTTACAACAATAGCGTTATAATGCCTCTGATGCGCGGCGTGCACAGTGTGTGTACGCCAAAGTTTACTTTCAATAGGGCGAAAAAAAGTGTAAAAAAGGAAGAAGTATTCGATAGATCGAGCTTGCACGAGTGGATGTGTGTGTGTGTGTATGCGCTCGTACACCAGTGCGTGAGCAGCAGCGAGCGAGCGAGGGAGTGTAGATTTAGGCGCGCAAACCTGCGATGAATTTTTAAGGCAGCAGCCAGCCAAGTCCCGACGAATGTTTGCTCGAAAGAGAAAGATAGCGGTCGGGTGAGAAAATGTAGCGTGAGAAAAGTACTTTTATTTTTCTTACCTTCCTTCCTTTTTTTTGCTTCTCTCTCTCTTTTTTTTCTCTTCTACTCCTCCTGTTCTTTTTCAACCTTGGATTTTTTCGCGACTTTGCAAGTTTATGTGTGTATATTCGAAAGACAGAGAAGAAGAGAGAGAAACAAGTACGAAAGCGAAACAAACATTATCCCGGTCAGCGGAGGCGCGGCGATGACATCTCCTCTCGAGTATTCCTACGTGACAATTGCCTTTATCCGATCCCTTTTTTCACCGCCAGCCGATCTCCTTGATACAATAACGACACATCCATCGGACATTATACGCAATAAGTCGGCGCGGGGAGAGAAAGCCGCAAGTTCGGCGCGTCCTCGCCGTCGTCTGTGGGTTTAATACGGCCGGTCGCGCGTATACATTACGACGCGATCTGCGAGTTTATAAGAGGGCAGCATGCGGAAAAGGACGGTGTCTCTGGTTTTCCTCGTATATAGGCTCTCTGTCTAACGCTAGACGCAACTGCAAGAACAAGAAGTTCCCGCGGGGCTTGCGTTATCGCCTACAACACACCAGCAGCAGAAGCAGCACAGGCTTCTCTTCTCTTCTCTTCTCTCTCGAGCAACTGCTCAGGCACAGGATGACCAGGCCGCGATATCAAATATTAAAGGTACTTGCAGCTCACCACCGCCACTCGAGCTATTTCATCCTGGGCTTAGTGGCTTGCTGTTACCTACTACTACGTTGCTGCTGATGCTGCTGCCGTTGTTGTTGTTATTGTTGTTGTTGTTGTTGTTGTTGTTACTGCTGCTGCAGGCGATGTAGTTTGGTTACGCGAGCGTAGCACGTATACTCCCAGTACTTGCAAGCTTATAGTCGGACGAAGAGAGAAAGCTGCAGTATACGCAATTGCTTTTTCCACCCCTTGGCCTACGAAGTACGCTCTACACTATGGAGGCTGTGTGTGTGTGTGTGTGTGTGTGTGTGTGTGTGTGTTATATGTACGAGGGCGGGTAGTAAAAATTCATCCTCTGCGGATGAGAGTGAGGAGTACTTGGCGTACACACACACACATACAGGTATATATATAGTATACGTAATGGCAGTATAGTCTTGATGTGCCTACCGCTTCTCGTACATATACCGTGTGCAGCGCAGGATTGCTACAAAACGTCCGAGGGCTTGACCATCCTCCTATATCTCGGCGCGCGCGCTCGGCACGTGAGGGATCACCCGCACTCCCTGCTGTAGCTGCTGTAGCAGCCTGTCTTCTCCTTCGCATCGTTCCACGTTGGTAAAGTATATGTATATAGACCGCTGGGCACCGAATCGCCACCGAGTATATGGTCTCTCTCTCTCTCTTTGTGGCGAGCGACTATACAACCGAGAGAGAAATTGAGCGAGAGAGTGAGATGAAGTATGCACTGCTCCTCTTTCTCTTTCTTACACACGGATATGACGTACACACATACACGTGTGCATATACGTATAACGTGTGCAGCAAGTCGTTGCGCGCTCCGCACAGATAGCCACCGCACCAGCGCGCGGGGGCCGGTACACTACACTCGTCGGTTTTGCGATTAGATATTTATGTGTGCGCGCGCGCGGGTTTTGGGTTGCTCCAACTTGCGATCTTTTTTTTTCTCTCTCTCTTCTTTTCTTTTCTTTTTTTTTTCTTTCGTTACGCTATATATACCATACTGTATAGCTCGCTGTGTTCTGGCACTTTTTTCGCTGATTGTTTCTTTTACTTTAATATTTGATCTATGGCATATAGAACATTGGGATAGATCCCGTGCGAGCCTGGACTTAAATATTTATCCATTTTACTTGCCGAGAGAGCGCGCGTATTTGTGTGTATGTGAGTGTGTTTATTTAATTTATTCCTTGGATGAAAGAACAATCGTTTAATTAACGGATCGATTGACAATGCTCTGATCCAAATTTCGTTTGCGTCAAGTTGTTTTCTTGATCTAGGAGGAAATGCTTAATACTGACAATAATAGCTTTATGACCAAAAAATGACCATTTAAAATGTTTTAAATTAGTTTCGATGATATGTTCATATTATAAATATTGAGCGCATTTTAAAAGGTTTTAATTGTTTCAAAAAAATAAGACTAGATTTTCAACCACTTTGAGCATCTACCGCTAGATGGCGAGTACCTATAGCTGTAACTCTGCAAGTGGTAAAGTCAAAATAATTATATAAGTCACTTGCACCCGCGCACAAATCAATGTTTTTGTTATCGGGAACGGAGTAACAGTCTCAGCTCGCGGGCCTATACATCCTAGGCGCGAGCCCCGAAATTATTTCTCTCTCCCCCCTGATATTTATAATTACTTAAAATTAATAACGATTCCCGGGAGAGAGTATAACGAATAATATATTCGTTACAAAGTCTAAACACATAAATTTATGAATTAAAAATTACCCAACTCATTCACAGATTCTATAAATACACTTAGACACTCTACTAGTTTACACCGTAAGCTACACGAGTTTTAAGCGTCCACCACTAGATGGCGAGTACCTATAATTGTAAATCTTCAAGCGGCAAAAGAAAAATACCTATGTATAAGTCAAAGCGGAACCTGAAACTAGACAGCCGCAGACAGTACGGTTATCTGCTAGTCTCGCACATACACTTTCAGTAGTACGACTCGAGCTGCGGTCATCAAGCCTCCGCTGCATACGAACGAAAATATATATTTCGAATGATATCTTTTCAACGGTGAAGAACGAAGCCTATATGCCTCGTCGTCGAAGAGACTCTCGTCGGAGAGAAATTGCGCAAATTCTCAAACGGAGCTTGTTTCCAACAACTGCTTCATTAATATTCGTG